CCCTGCAATAGCTTCTGTGCCCTCATTTCAGTTCAAATGCTCTTGTTATTAGGTATAACCTATGGTAGTCCAAGCTGTCCTATGAGGATAGGTAGCTCATTGCTAAACTTATTAGAGACTGAATCATCAATATGCTAAGACCTGCAGGAAGCTGTGGCATTGCAAAAATCCTATAAGCAAAGTAAAAAGATGAGTAAAGAATTTAAACTTACCCAGTGCTGCCTATTCATAACAACCACTGGATGTCAAAGCCTTCTGAAAGGGTTTGCCCCTGCTCTCACAGTGGGTTGATGACATTCCTTTATGTTCCAAATATGCACCTTGAAGCTTGAAATACTTAATGTTTTGCAAGAATTGGCCATGGACTGTATCTGGCATGGTTTTTGCTGCTTTCATGAAACCAGGCCTCAGGTTCTGGCCACCTGTTGCTCTGAGTGGCTTGGAGCTGGCTTCTGCTTGGCACTTGTTTCAGGCGAAATCTCTGGTTTCTATCAAATTCACTGTGCACCATTAGCCATGGTGGAATGCCAAGGTCTAAGCATGCTTTTTTTTCCTTATATTTTATCTATCATGTAATCCTCCTTTTGAGAAAACCCTGTTACACTGATTAAGGGGTAATGCAATGCTCATAAATCTTACATTTCTCAGCTTGCACTTGATAAATTGAGCTTGGCCATAGTTGGAGAGGCAACTGACTGCCAAGTGCAAAATACCTGTCCTGAAGGCAACGTCCAGAATATGGAGCTGAAGGTGGCCAGTATCATAATTCATGCAAAGTAATCTTCTTGGATGCTCCAGCTCTTGTAGCCAGCTTCTGCAATACTGCCAGCTTGTCTGACCGCAAGTAGCAATGCACGTATCTTCCCTAAATCAATCTCTAGCAAGGCAGCCTCCCGGGAACTGGAGGAAACCTAATGTATATCTTCCTCTGGCATACCTCTTAGCACACCAGTCAGGCTCTCAAGAGATGAGCAGGCTTGTATACTGTTATACATGCACATGAGTAATCAATTAGATTCTCATGGCCCTGCAAGAGAACAGTCTGATCTCTGTTGTCTTGACATTAGCAAGCGTGACCCTTGACATGGCAAACAACTTCACCTTTTGTTGAAAGGCAGTAACATAGAAGACTACAGGACATTAAAAGTGGAATGAAAGGGTGTTGGGCTGCTTTTGGTGGATGGGAGGTAGGGATCCTTACTCATGATTTATAAGGCCCTTGATTAAGTTGCAAAGAAAAGTGCAACTATATTCCATGTCTCTCTCTAGGTCTCACAATTTTTTTTTTCTGTGAAGGTGATGTTTTCATGGAGTGATTTGGGAAGATACCCTTTCTCTTCCCAGTAGTTCAGGTGGCAGACTGGATCCTCTACAAAATCTTGGCCAAATGAATCACTTCTTAGCTAGTGTCCAGCCTTAACCAGTTTTCGGTACACCATCCCCAGAGACCTTTAACAGTAGGACTTGCGCATAGGTGAAAAACTTTTTTTATAATCCTCTTTTTTCCTCTGTCTTCTACTAAGTCTCAGTATCATTCCTCCTCCTCATCACTACCTTGTGGGCTGTGAGGTTGACTGTATCCCACATTCTTTTCGTCATGGAAACTAGTATTCTGGGTTTTCCTGGCAGTTGTATCTAGTCAGAGCGGTATTGATGGATACTGCAACAGAAGCCTTTCCAGCTATCTTTGCATAGTTTTCTGCTTGGGGTACCTCTATTGCCTCTTTCAATTGTTCAGATTCTCAGAGTAATAGGAAAAGCTCAGCGATAGAGAAGGGATTTGTTTTTTTTCTGGCCTGCCTATCTGGATAGCTGAGCTGGGTTCCAGTGCCTGGGCCAGTTATTCATGTGCATCACAGGTGAAAGAACCAAAATACAACTCCTGATGAGACAAAGCCAGTGGCATTAAGTGTCCAGTATGGTTGCAACAAAAACTCTGTGTTCAGTAATATGCTTGGAAGAAGGTTTTTGGTTTCACAGTTCAGACACTGAAACCCGGCTCTCCTGAAACAAAATTTTAGACTTCCCTGAAAACACCTTCATGCTGTTCCACTCCATATGTGCTAAACCACACTTTCCTCCTGCGGAAGGAAATCTACTGTTTCTTCTACCTATGCGGTTGCTTCAGTATTTTTCAGCTACAAGTACATGGCACTTTCATGGTGATCTTTCAACTTGTCCAGCATTTTAATATTAGATATGATATTATAAAGGCAATAATGTGCCCTTTAATTTTTATTAGTTTAAGTGGGAAAAATTGAGATGAGGACAGAACTGGGTGGCTGTGATCCTCAAGTTCTTTTAGTGCTATGCAACTTAGTTGATAAAGAAATGGGCGTAGAAAGTTGACCTAGCCTTATAGTACCTGCTTTTATGAAGCATTTCATAAATGATTCATCACTCTCCAAGAGAACCTGCACGGGCTTTTGTTTCTGCTTTGGCTTATTATTTCTTTTAAACACATAAATGAAGAGTTCTACCTAGCCCTCTTCAAACAGCAGAGGAGATGAAAAGGCCTGTGAAGAAGGGTGCAAGATAGGTGCAAAATAATTGGATATATACTGATAAAACATGCTTATTCATTCAGTTGAGAAGTATTTTATGGATGCCAAACGCAAAGTGCAATTTATTACTTGCTAGTCTTGA